AGGGGAGGGAAGAGGGGAGGAAGGGGAAGAGAGGAGAAGGGAGGAAGGGGAGGAGGGAAGAGACGAGAATTGGGTGTGCATCATCAGCAAAGACACAGAACAATTGTCTGCCTCGTTTGGAAATTTTGTCCTGGTAGAGAAGGGATCACGAAGCTTCTGTGCTTGAAAATACAGGGCCGAAGGTGAAGGCCTATTTTAAAAATGGAGATTGAGTGGCAGTTCTCAGAAGGATCCGGGGCCTCCCACCTGCTCCTGCTGCTGCTCGCCCAGTCGGGGGCACTCAGAAGATTAAAGGCATGGTTTTTAGAGAAACCAGCCAAAGGAAAAAGACAGTTATGTCTCCATCCAAAGTGCCTGACCGGATCACCTGCCTGGCCCTCAAGTTAGTGACCCCGCTGAGGTACAAAAGGCTCTCTCTGGATTTTATGTATAAAAGGAGACCCAAGGCACAGCAGAGGCCTGAGCAGTCTCAGAAGGGAATGGCTAGTGTGGAGAGGAAAAGGGATTCATCTCGGACGATCACTAAGAAGTTGGGGAACTGGCTCCATGGGTAAGTGCTTGCCGTGCAAGAACGAGGACCTGAGTTCAGATCCCCAGTGACCACAGAACAGGGAGTAGAGAAGTGTGTGCCTGTGATCTCAGTACCCCCTCTCCCTGGGGGTTTCCAGCCTCAAGTGCCAGGGGGAGACACTTTCTCAAAGCCCAAGGTGGAGGGACTGGAGAGGTGGCTTTGCAGCTGAGAGCAACGGCTGGTCTTGAAGAAGACCCGGGGTCTGTTCCAAGCATGCACATGAGGGTTCATAGCTGCCTCTAAGGCCTGTTCTAGGGGATTTGATGCCCTCTTCTGGTCTCCATGGATGCTGCACACACATGGTGCACATGAACACACTCAGACATGTACACATCAGAAACAAATACATGATTTTTCCAAAGGTCGAGAGAAAGATGATGATACCTCATTCAGCCTGTGGCCTTGTGGGAAGCAGTGGTCATCACTTTGTAATGTGAGCACTAGGGACTCAGCAGAAGGAAAACAAAGCAGTGATTTTGACCTTGCAAAGTTGGCCATCAACCTAGAGAAAGGGCAGAAGTGGCTGGCATGTTGATTTGGCATAAAAGTGGTCTTTGTATTCCAAGTCACACTTTCTGCCCTCTAAACTCTTCCTTGGCTGAGTCTTCACGGAGGTCCAGTTTCCCCGACCTGTGTAGCCTAGTTCCCCTTCCCTCCTCCCCACTCTCCTGGGTCTCAGGAGTCCCTCCTTTTCTGACACCCACTCGCTCAGCAGTTACTTTGTAATGCTAGAAAAACTGAAAAGCATCCAGATAAGCAGTCCCACCCCACCCACCCCATCAGTTGGGTTTGGTGCCTTCTCTTTGCTTGTGATTCTCAGACACTCTCTCCTTGTATCTCATACTAAATATAGACCAGAGTGATTCATCTCATAGCCCCCCCACACACACACGCATACGCACACATGCATACGCAACACATGCATGCACACACTCATGCACACATGAGCACATATACAGCCATACACACACATCATGCACATCATAATTAAAATGGCAGTGAGTGTCTTCAGAGGCCAAGTGGCTTCCACCCAGGGTGGTTAGTTAGGCTGCAGGGGTTTCTATAGACTTCATTTGGTGTGGACTAATCCCCCCCCCCCACTACTGGCCGTTTCTCCATGACCTCAGTCATTTAGGGTGGCGCCTATCACAACTTTTTTTCTATGCTTAAAAATGGACCAACTTCGAAACATTCAAAATTATACACACGCAATGGACGTGGCATCGTTTTAGGAACCAGACCATTCAGACTCAGCATGAGAAAAATGACCCCACGCAACAGTGCTGTGGGAACTCAGACACTAAAGTCATGAGACAAGTGTTCAAAAAAGTAATTGCGAAGCATGCTTCAACAAGCAGCTAGGAATACTTGTGTGTGAGTGAGCACTGACGAGCAAACGCGCATGCTCGTTCATGCACGGAAGCTGGAGGAGGTCAGCAAGTGTCTTGTTCCGTTGCTCCACTTTGTTTCCCGGAGACAGGATCTTTCACTGGCCCAGAGCTCAGCCGGCAGCCAGCAACATGCAGCAAACCAGCGTCCCCATCACCACCCCACTCCCAGCCACACCCTTCAGAGCCCCAGGGTTACAGGCGCATGTGTGGACCTACCTAGCCTTTTAAGCGGGTGTCAAACCTAGGTCCTCATGCCTGTGCGGCAAGTACTCTGAGACGCCAAACCGTAAAATACTTTTGAAACAGAGAAATAAAATATTTCACCTAAGAGATAGACTTGAAAGAAAAATCTAATGAGAAATAGAAGACTGAAAAAAAATATAGTATCCAAAGATGGAAGTCCACTGGAGAGCCAGTGGGATGACTCAATGGATAAATGTGATTGCTGCTAAGTCTGCCACACTCACACCCACAGTAGCATCGCACGCATACACACTAGCAAACAAACTAGCATATACACACATGCACACGTACACACACTAGCATACACACACATACACATGCATGGACACACACATATACGCACACAACACAAATACACATATTAGCACACGCACACGATAAGGACAGACCGGTTTGTTACTTTCAGGAAAAGATGAACCAGTAAACTGAAAAGATTATGGAAACTACACAATCCAAAAGACATAGAAAGAAGCAGATGCACGACAACCCAATCCTGAGACCACAACAGAGTGGTAGGGAAGGATAGAACACATGTGTCAGGAGGGTAACAGAAGGGGAGAAACAAGGACGGGGGCAATGAAAGATGAGCAAGCTTTGTAAATTCCCATTTCCTAAACTTGAATAAAAGGCTCAAGTCTGCAGATTCAGGGTATGCAAACTCCAAGTTAAAACAAAACACCCAGGCATAGTACAATCTCCTGACACCAAAGTCGTAAATACTGAGAGACTGGAGAAAAAGTGCATGCTATTTAAGGGGGGCGCCTATCTGAATGCTGTCAGCTTTCCTCGGACCCATGGAGGCCAGAAGTGGAGCACTGTCTAAACAAACAGCAAGAACCACACCAGAATCCTCCGTTGGGAGGGAAGAGGAGCAGAAGGTCTGGTCTCCCCTTCAGAGAACCAAGAACTCATTTTTGATTCTTTAAGAGAGTTGGTCACCAGCAAATGCACCTTTAAACTGATTGCTAAAGATTCCAAACAGAAAGAAAAGGAGAAGACTGGCCACTTCAGGAAGGGCATGGGGAGTAGGGGGTTGGAAACAACCATAAAGGGCTGCTAGCTTCCACCATGTGAGCTTTAAGAGTTATGTTTGCTGATTGAAACAAAAATGAGAACCCTCAACTTATGTGACAGTCAGTGCCTCTCCATGTTAGCTGTGACTGTCACTTTGACCTTGCCTAGAACACTCGTTCTCAACCTTCCTAATGGCGCGACCCTTTAACATAGCCCATGTTGTGGTGACCCCCAACCATAAAGCTATTTTCCTTGTGACTTCATAACTGTAGTTTTGCTGTTGCAATTGTAAATGTGAACATCTGACATGCAGGATATCTGGCGTGCTTCTCCCCAGGGTCGAGAACCGCTGGTCTAGAGCCATGTGAGAAAGGTTGAGGGATTGTCTAGGTCAGATTGGCCTGTGGCACGTCTGTAGGGGACTGTCTTAGTCATGAATAGTGTGGAAGGACTGGGGTGTGACTCTGGCAGACTGCTAACCTAGCATGAACACAGCTGTGGGTTCTGTCCCCGTGCCGCAGAAACTGTGTGGTGTCTGTCTGTAATCCCAGAACTGGATAGGCGGAGTCAGGAGGATCAGGAGTTCAAGGCCATCCAAAGCTGCTTTAAGGAATTTGAAGCCAACCTGGACTACATGAGACCCTGTTTCAAAACCAGACAGTGCAAGGAGAGCTGAACGTGATGCATTCCCTGCCATGGACTTGGGTGAAACATAGGCCAGCAGTTTCTTTCATGAACATTTATTCCCAAGGAACAAACACTTGTGGTCACACATAGCCAATGTGTGGTTTTTATGATGACTTTATTTGTAACAGCTCAAAGTGTAAACAACCCCAATGCTCTTACACAGAGGAGTGGTTAAACACCCTCTGTTCAGTCGCTTACACAACGGAATACTATTCACCAATGGAAAGCACAAACTACCAACAAGCAGCAACTCGGATGGCTCTCCATAATCTCAGGACTGTGAGGAGCCCAAAGGTCACATGGCCAGGAATAACAGTTATGTGACCTTCTGAGGAAAGAATGGGAAAGAGGTCTGTGGTTGCCGCCAGTATGATGGGGGGGGGGTGATCTGTATGAGGAAAAGTTCAGAGTTCACGCTGCATCTCCATTGTGGTGGTAAATGCAAATGCGCATGCACACACACACACACATACACACACACACACACACACAGAGAGAGAGAGAGAATAAGCACTGACGTGTCACAAATATGTTGCAGCAGTCTGCAAGTTGGTTTCCAGGTTTTGATCCTGTAATAGAGTGGGTAAGATGTCACCATGACAACAGCTTGTGATGCTATGAAACACCGCAACTTTCTGTGACTCTAGATTTTAAATCTAGACTCTATGACCATCAGGCAGGGGACACAGCTCAGTGTAAGTGCTTGCCCCCTAAGCGTGAAGACATGAGTTTGGGTCCCCAGAATCCCATAGAAACTGGGCATGATGGGGCACATTTAGAGTCCTACTGCTGGGCAGGTGGAGACAGGAGGAGCTCTGAGGCTCACTGGTCAGTCAGCCTAATCAAATGGATGAGGTCCAGGTTCAGTGAGAGACTCTGTCTCAAGAATTACAGTGGGGAGTGATTGAGGATGACATTCGATGTTGACCTCTGGGCTGTAACCTCGCACATGCACACACATTCACACACCCGTGCACACACACCCATGCACACATACACACAGGCACGAGCACATAGACACACTCACACACACATTTTTTTTTTTAATTAGAAATTTAAAAGTATCTGAGGAAGTAAAGGAAAAAAGCAGAGAAAGTAGTGGTGAATCCAGCACCCGCCGGGCGTCTGCGTGGCCAGGAGCTGTCCGTGGTGCTGAAGAGGATCAGCCTGTCCAGGAGACCTCATCCTTCACTGTGACACTAACCTTCCTCCTTCTTGTACACGTTGCTCAGTCCTACTTCCTTGCCATCCCCTCACCTTTGTGAAGGGCACCGCACTCCTTGTCAGGGGAGGGAGAGGACCCCTAAGAAGGGAAGCAGTTGGAGGATCGCAGTGGTCGTGGGCAGATCTCAAATTACCATGGTTATCGCTGGGCGGAGCAACGCTGTGAGTTCTCTTTTCTTTCTGTTCAGCTGTGTTCTCAAGCTTATGTAATAAAAGGATTACTTCTGAGATAAGAAGAATCAATAAAACTTATTATGCTTTAAAATACCATCGCAGGCTCCCTGGGGTTCTCAGCTCCCTCCGTTTTCTTCACACTTGCAAAGAAGGCTGCCCAGCCCAGCTGACGCCCTGCCCCAGTTTCTAAAGGCAGTGACTCTGCCTCCCAGCTGCTTCCCTGCTGGGTGTGCCCTGGGGGGTCCACCCCCTTTCCCTGTCCCCACCTCCCACCTCAACACTGCCAGCTCCTGTCTGTCCTTCAAGGCCTCACATGAGCATCTCCCTTGGAGTGTGTCCCTGTCCAGAGTAGATGGGAGCTTTCTCTGTCACCATCCTGGCCGGCATGTTGGCATTGCAGGCTGGACTGTTCTCTACAGGCTCTGCCTCTCTGACATTGGACATTGGTACCAGTGGCTCTTGACCCCTACTGTCATGCCATACATCCACTGGGGAACTCAGAGTGTGACGGGACAGATAGGAAGAGAACAAGGACACAAGGGATTTCCCACCTTGGCTAGCTGTGACCCACTCCGTGGTCCCTCTCCAGGGTCCAGTGGGCCTGTCTCCTTTCTGCTTCCCTGCTGGTCCCCTACACTCTTTTCATACAATTAAGGTTGCTTCACCTTCAGGAATGGGAGTAGTGTTTGTTGATGTTTCCCAGAGTGTAACACGAGATAGGTAGGTGTCCTATAACTGCATGTTGAATAAGTGAATGAGTGAACCAATGGATGCTTTCTGCTTCTGCTCTCTTCCCTTGGAGGGGGCTCTCTATCTGATGACCAGTTCTCCCCCACGGGGAAGTGCCCTGTCCCTCCCCATGGCATTGGCCTGCTCAGGTCGACAGGGCACTGCAATGAACACTATATTGATCAACTGTCACCCGCTGTTTGAGCTCACTGAGAAGCTGGCTCAGAAGTGAGCCGTGCCATACCCTTCAGACACAAACACATCTGTCTCCACGTGTCCTCCGAGACCGCGTGTCTGGGATGGGCCGGTCCCCCTAACTCCGTGTCGGGGAGGAGAGAACAGCAAAACAGCCCAGGAGTAGAAATGTTGCACCTTACAAACAGCTGGAACCGTCTCAATAGTGTTCTTCTTGTGGTGTAGAAGTGCCGGCAACAGGAAAGAAGCCGGAAGCTCAGCCCGGACTCCAGTCAACTGCCTCAACTTCCCCAGTCAGTTTCTGCTGGATGTCGTGAGGCCCCATCTGGACGATGTGATCTTTATCTGTTGCTGTTTGTTCTGTGGAAGCCTCTGGTCCATGTCAGTCTGAGAGTATGCTCTTCTCTCTGTGGGAAGCCCAGCTGTCTGCCTCAATGGGATTTCCCCGATTGGTTTCTGCAGAACATTTTATATTTTAAGTCCCTGATTTAATATGCCCTCTCTCTCTCTCTCTCTCTCTCTCTCTCTCTCTCTCTCTCTCTCACACACACACACACACACACACACACACACACACACTTTGGATGGCTATATATTTGATAAATACCCTCCTTCAAACAAAAGAATGGCTCCCAGATCATTCTCTGCACCATACAGAACAGACACCTATGCCTGATCTTCCTCAGGGTCACTCCCATAGGGCTGGGCTGTGGAAGCTAAGAGGCATGTGGAGTAGGCTTCATCCTCCAGGGTCCTCTCATCTACACCAGCTACCTGTGGCTGCCCTGTGTGCTGCTTTTGTGACAGAGACTAATAGACAGAGTCCTTTGTGAGACTGTCCTGGTAACCAGAGGAGGGGGTGGGGTGCCTTCCCCACACTGGATGGAGGAGATAGCTTGGACTCAGGGTACAGGGACAGACACAAGGCCCCTGATTCAAGCTCCCAGATCCTCCATTTTCCCCATGGGAAACCACAAAGCAGGGACCATGGGAAGAGTTTCCACATCCCCACTCCAAACCCAGTTCAGATCCCACTCTCCTAGGGCCTGTCCTCCGTTTTCTTTCCCCTTCTCCAAGTCAAGTCCCACCTCTTTCAGGAGCCACCCAACCCAGCACCCCTGGCTTTCTCCCTTCATTGCCTGGCATTCCCTGCGCACCTCTGAGCTGATCACTTTCCTTTGTGACACGTGGCTGCCAGCCTGCAAGTTCCCAAGTTCAGCTGTACAGAGTTTTGCACACCGTGGGCACTTGATAAATGTGGGTCAGGGCTGGAGAGATGGCTCAGCAATTAAGAACACTGGCTGCTCTTCCAGGTTTGATTCCCAGCACCCCCCCCCTCAGTGGCTCATAACCATCCACAACTCCAGTTCCAAGGAATCTGACGCCCTCTTCTGGCCTCCACAGGTACCAGGCGTGCACATGGTACACACACAAATATGTAGGCAAAGCATTTATACACATATAAATAAATAAAGACATATTTTAATGTGTAGGTCTTCTCCTGGCACCTTAGCAACCACACTCTTAAACTCTTTCTAGTGAGGATGTGGTGGCATGTGAGTATCTGTGACCACTTCATACTCAGCGCAGAGTCGACTCTGTTGGCCTTAGGAGACCTTGGAAGACTAGGAATCACTGCCTGGGCTCTGGCAGCTGGGCATCCTGCCTCTTGTCTCTCTGCCCTCATCCCTCTCCAGACCCACGATTCTTCCCTTCCACTAGACTCCATCTTGGTACCATCTCTCTCCATCCTGTCCCTTCACACATGTGCACTCTCTGGCCAGCTGCCTGACTTTCGAGGTTGCCACCTTTGTTCTGTCTGTCATGGTCCCCTGTAAATAGCTATTTTGTCTCCTTGAGGACAAGGAATATGTTGAGCAGGCCTGATCAACAGGTATGTTCGGTACCATAACCAGAACAGTCATTGAGTGGTTATGTATCCCTGGGAGGAAAAGGCCTCTATCACCAGCTCTGAATTCTACATTCCCCTCTGGATGTGATCACTGTCTCTGGACCACTGGTGGATTCTCCTTCGATGATCAGAAAGACACAGAGCTGGGAAGGGGCTGAGCTGGTTGGTGTCTGTTAGGTTAGACAAGAAATGACAGAATATGTAATCTTTGAGGGGGGATCCATTTAGAGGGTTTACTGGCAGGGTGCCCATCAAATGCACTCTGGTTAGGAATCTAGCATGGGCTCTGTATGTAGCTCTGTGTTTCCCTCCAGGGACCCAGGAGGAGCCTGAACTGGACCCTGGGACTGTGTGGTTCTAAGAAAAGCGCCTAAAGTTAGAGGAAAGAGATGAGCCTGTGTCCCTGGGAGTATGCAAGCGGAGGCTGCCTGTCCCTGGTCCCCAGCCTCCCCCACCCTCTCTGCCCTCATCTCCAGCTAGGCTGGAACCTAGGCCTATTCCCCACAGCTCATCAGACGCCAAAGCCGGCCTGCTTCTTCCCATAACTGTGACTCTATATTCAAGTCCCCCAGCACCTCGAGCCCAGGATGTTGGTATCTTATTGGGTCTTTGTCAATAGTCCATATTAGGAGTTGCTTTCCCTGGCTGGAGGCCCTCAGTGACTAGGACCTTTAGGGGCATGAAGGGAAGGTCCTCATACGGTTTGGGAATATTGAATAGGAGACACGCTTCCTGGCTGTCCAGGTAAGTGAATGGCCTCAGGGTTCCATGGGTACAAAGAGACAGGGTGTCCCTTCCCTACACAGCGCTGAGCCTCTCTGGAAGAGAACAGCATTAGGTGGGGTGATCACAGGACCACTGGATGACTCTTGACAAGGGATGACTATGGTTTCACTAACAGGAAGTTCAGAGGCTAGCCTTGGACTGGGACTTCCTCCTACTAGCTCCAGAAACTGAAGAATCTAGAAAGATCCACTGTTCATCCCCAGAGGATAGGCCCACCTAAGGCAGAGAGTGGGCAAGAGACGAGGGAGGGTTGGCTGGCAGGGCCGGCTGTGGGAAGATGAAGGCTGGCTTCAAGTTGCAGAGAAGGGTCTCTCCCCATGTGGGTGGGACTCTGGGTATGGAAGGACCGCTTCACAGACACAGCCTCTGACCATCTCACCTTCACAACCAACCCACCGACCCCACCAGCTCATAGGAGCCGCTGTTTATTCCAGAATGTCTCTACCGCTCATCCACTAGTCCACACATGGGGCCCGGGTGTAGCCACAACCTTTCTCAGCCTCCTTCGGCCTCTTATTCCCAACCCATCCACACTGGTCCCCACCCTCACCAAGACTGGACTCTTCTCTGCCCAGTGTGAGCCACTAATTTACCCCTGGGCCACCACTGAGCCCATCCAAGTCACTACCCACAATCACCTAAATGGAGCCCTGAACCCCCATCCCCAGTAAAAACCCACAGAACACATGTATTTGGATTTTTTTCCTTTGCAGATTTTTTTTTAGTAGACATAGTCTTTTTTTTCTCTCTCATTTTACAGCAAACTTTGCAAATATAGATTCTTTTTCTGTACAATAGAACAGCTACAGTGTACAATGAAGATGGGGCTGGGGTTGGGGGGGGACACCTGCTTCACAATGCTTCCCAGCCTGCACCCCTCTTGCCACCCCATCCTGTCCCTAGGCACAGTCTCCATCTCCCCCCTTGGAGTCCCACAGCCTCAGGATGCTGCCAAAGTCAGGCAGCCCATCTGCCTCAGCTCTACCCCCCTCTGCACTCCTCAGGCTGGGAGGTCATATTTAGGGGCTGCCATGAAGCTGGCCACACTTGGTCACACCCCCATGATAGGTGATTTAGGTTTTTTTTTTAAAGAATTTCACTTTTATATATATATTTTTTTAAAAAGGAAGGAAAGAAAGAGGAAAGAGAGAAGAGAGAAAAGGAAGAGAAGACTCAGAACAGGAAAAAGATGGAAAAAATTCCCCTCCCCCACCCCCACCCATAAGACACAGTTTTCCGAAGTCCCGTGTGTGCGTGTGTATGCATGTGCATGTGTGTGAGTGTGTGCATGCGTGTGTGCGTGTCTGTATATATGTGTGTGTGTGTGTGTGTGTGTGTGCATTTGTGAGTGTTTGCATGCGTGTGGTGAGTGTGTGTGTGGTGAGTGTGTGTGTGTGTGTGTGTGTGTGTGTGTGGTTTGCTTGCTTGCACCAGGCAGCAGGCACAGTACAGTTTACATGAAAGTTAGTATATCTACTGTTGCGGCCACCTGCGGCCTCCTCAAGCTGTCCCTGCAGGCCAGGCGCTGAGCCCAGCAGTCCCTTGTTGTGCACTTATGTTGGGCTTAGTGTTGAGTCTCAGTCAGGGATAGCTGCTGCGGATGGTCTATCCTTTTTGGTCCACTGAGCATCACGAGTTTCGGAGAGGACAGGGCCAGGTTGCCTTGGGCCCTGCTGAGGGATGAAGGGAGATTCAGGACTTGTGCTGGGCGGACACGCCTTTCCAGTAGTCTAGGATGTCATGCAGGTCCTCATCCTTGGCAAACTGGACCTTCTTGCGCAGGGCGTGGCCAGCCGCCATGAATTCTGCATCATCCTTGTGCCTCCGACGGCTCAGTCTGAGACGCTCCCAGATGCTCGGGGACGCCCTGCAGGTATACTCGGGGCTGGATGAATAGCTCAGGTTGTGGTACTGTGGGGACAGCTGCGAATAGACGAGGTCTCGGGGTCGTGGCCGTGTCAGAGGCTCCAGGATGGAAGCCTTGCGGCCTCCGAGCCCTTCATGAGTGGGCGGAGGCGGCGGCGGAGCAGGTGGCTCAGCAGGGTGGGAGCCAGGGTACGAGTGCCGATGCTCGCCGTACTGGCGACCCTTGTCGGCCTCGGCCCGCAGCACGGTGGCCGCGGGTGTCACAGTGAGGATGGTCTCGGGCACAGGTGAGCTTTTTTCAATGTACTTGGTCTCAGTGGCTGGGGCCTTATGTGTGCCGGTGGCCTCAGCCCGGAAGGTGCGAGGGCTACGTGCAGAACCGCTGGATGAAGTGCTGGCCCTGGGAGGCCCGGGTGCAGCCTCCACGCTGTGGTGCCGCTGCAGGCCACCATGGCCGAAGGCATCTTTGTAGACAGGGGACAGGAAGCTGTGCTTGCTAGCCAGAGGCTCGGACAGCAGTACCAGCGGTGGCTCGGCCACGGCCACGGCCCCTGATTTGGCGCCCTGGAAGGAGGTGGACTCCGACTTGAGAGCGTCGATGCAGTTGTTAATGATCTGGTTGACCCTGTCCACCTCCTTGGCAATGGTGGAGATTTCCGCCACCGAGCTCTGGTTTTCCGTGCCAGGCCGGCTCAGCTCACAGCTTCTGCGTTCTGGCGGCTCCCCTGTGCGTACTTCAATGTAGTTCCCCTTGGTGGCTTTGGGGGTCTCGCTACTCTCCACTAGCTTGTACTGCTCCACGTCACTGGTGGTGGCTGGCAGGTAGGGTATTCGAGACACAGCCTCAGAGCCAAGCAGCGGGCCCTGGGTCAGCGGGGCCAGCCCAGGTGCCTCAATCTCAGGCCCGTACTTCAGCTCGATGATGGTCTTTTTCAGGCTGCCTGCTGCCGCCGCCACCGCCTTCTTATGTTTCTCCTCCTGGCGCCTCCGCTTGCGCAGGCAGTAGTAAACAGCGCCCAGAACCAGCACCATGCCGAAGAGGCAGCCGAGGATGGTCATGATGTAGTGAGTGGCTGTGGAGGGGCTGGGCACGGGGCCAGGGGGGCTGGGCGGCTTGGGCAGGCAGATGGTAAGGCAGGTGTGGTTGTGATGGGTGCCAGAGCTGGTGGAGACCACGCAGTATGTGTA